ACTTTTAATTTTTCTTTTATTATTAACTAGCCTAGAATCCGCTCTTCAGGTGGACTTTAAGCTAGCTCCTACAGAGGGTTTTTGGGCCTTTTACCTACAACGTTCTATATACATAAAGGTTATACGAATTTAGAAATAATTATTTTATCTTTATTAGACACTTTCGGCATAATCTTTCTTCGTATACACAACCAATCTCAGTAGGTTGTTTACATTTATTTTGCGCGTAATTTTTATTTTCTTTTAGAATCAGCATCACATAAAGTCACTGTTAAAAGACATTAGGGGACACGAACTATGTTAGATTTCGAATACGTCATAGTACGTGCGTTAGAAAAAGTAAAAAGCAATAAAAAAAACATATGAGTAACGTACCAAGACTCGCTTAAGTTTTACTTATAGTTTAATTAGACGATACTAATTCCAATTGCGAGAAAAAATTAAATTAAAATTAAACCTTTAATAAAGAATTGTTTTTTTAAACCTTTTAGTCTGTTCGATATTTAAATGGGTTAAGACGATATTTAACTTTAAATGAGTTATTTATTTAATTTTTAATCTCCTGTAACTACAGTAGTTATTACCTGTTACTTCAGGTTTTTCATGATTCACCAAGGTCAAAAAACAGACGGTCGGACGGACACACATACGCAGCTTTATTTATATATATCATTTATTTTTTAAGTTTCATACTCCTACATAATCTAGTACTAAGGATGAGAGGTTATTTAATGATTTATTAATGATTTCTTTGTTGCTATGACTACAAATTTTTCGAGTTAAAATCTCGTGATTTCTATCGCCCAGGCATTGATCAATTAGTGGATCGTTGGCTGGAGCTCGTAATACATTACTGACTGATTCATCAGAACTATTAAAAAAATAAGTATTAAACAAAATTAAAAAAAAACCCCCAAAACGAACGAATTTATCTAATAACCTAATATTAAGAGGCATACAAATTAGGATAATTATTATAATTAGTCAAGACTAGTGAAGAAAAAAAAAAACATTTTTTATTTTTTTTATTTCTTAGCATGATCGAGAAATTGCCAGTGCACTTAAGCTAGAACATCTCCTTTAATCATGTGCAGTGACAATTACAGATAAATGTTCAGTTAATGCAACGGTCAGGTTATGGTTATACAGATCCACCTTTGTATGCATATGTGAGAGTGTGTGTGTGTGTATGCATGTATTTGTGCGTACGCCCCTCCCTCTCTATGCATAAAGCAAATGTGGAAAGATTTCTCGTTTTGATCTCTAGAAGACTTCATCGGACTAAAGTAATGTTTTTTCTTGATGGAATTATGCATATGTAGTAGAAGGAATGGTATATATTAAAATGCAAGTGTTGGTTGCAGTTATGTACTGCACTTTTGTGTTTACCCCCCTACCTTTCATATATAGTATTATTATTCAGTCAAGTTAGCTCGGACATTAATGGGTCTATAACGCCAGCCATCACGGTCCTACATCAAGGTCGGAAGGTCATTAGGGAGGTATTCTGTGTTCTAACATATCTAGTCAATGTAGATGGTTGCTGGGCGACCAACTCGTCTTGCTCCATGGCTAGGTATCCAGAGCAGTAGATCACTAGCGAGTTTTTGTTTTGCTGGCTATCGGTGTCTTGCAAGGCGCATTCTGCGTTTGCGCAAGATTGTACAAATATCAGGGATGTGTCAATAGCGCTTTGTTTTATTTGGATGTTGTCTCCAGACGATGTTAAGTATAGATCTCAGCGTCCAAGTGTAGGTTCAAACTTAGACTCAATGTCCAAGCAGTGGTACCATACATTAACACCGCCACTACAGTGACTCGAACGAATCTCAGTTAAAGGTTGTCTGGTAAATCAGATTTACATTCATGTTATTCAAGGCGTCCCTGGATTTAGCTATGGGAATTTTCATATCCTTTTCACTAGAGTTTATTTCGCTTTCTAGGCATGTAAAAGATTCGAGAGATTTTATTGATTCATCCGCAATAGTTTGTATTGAACCTTGCTGGTTGAAGCCTATGAATAGTCTTGGTATGGGAAAATAGTAATTCTTTCAGGAATGTAAATATTTAAAAAAATATCTAGGGCGCAGATTTATATTTTGGTAAGATTCGATAGCGACACACTCAAGAATTTCCCATCTAAGTAAGTTACATTCTCTTTTAACAGATTTAGCGTTATAATGATAAACTACAGCCGCGTCCTGGGTAAGACGATAAACCACGTCCAGCAGCAAGGCCTCTGATAGTACGTTTTAGAAAAAATAATGTTGCCAGCTGAACGTTTTTGAAAAAATATTACCAGCTATACGTTTTTTGAAAAAAATAATACCAGCTATACATTTTTGAGAAAAAAAAATATTAACAGAAATGGATTTTTGACAAAAATGACCCATTGAGGTTGATATGCCGTAAACCAAAACAAACCAAACCTTTTAACAGATTTGGCATAATTTAGATCAAAATTTTAGTTAAATTTATTTCTACAGAGTGCGATGGGTATATTATCTGCATTCCATATCTTTAGTTTCGCGCATGCGCATTGTTTGTTTACGATTTTGGCCACTGCACAGTATTAATAGGGTTAGTTGTATTCAATTTGCGAGAAAAAGAGATTATTATTTCCAGCAGAAACGGCGTGCTATACTGCTTGGCATTCGAAGCAGAAGATTCAATACGAACATTTCAGTGTTTGGGGTGTCAATTTGAGGACAGTGCAGAGGATTCGGAAAGGGTTGGATGAGTCTAATGGTGATTACGAAGTTACAGCATTTCTGAAAACTCGCTCTGATCGTTCTGATAAGAAAATAACTCACGAATTTGTTGGTGAGGGCCTCAGACTCAACACGGAGACCTGCTTTGTAGAGGTAGTGCTGTCCTGGGTCAAGATGGTGACTTCTGCAACAGGACCCAGCACCATGCCACACCGGCGGGAGAAACCAGTCATAGCATTCATACAATTTCTGCGACCACACCACTCCTTATATCTGCCCAGACTGCAACCCCTTGATTATTATGTGTGGGGTGCAGTTGAGTGAGAGTACAGCAAAATTCTTACACCACAGATGAACTGAAGGCAAGGATTATGGCAGCCTTCACCAACTTAATCAAGGAAACCGTCAAGAAGAGATGCAGAAGATTCTGAAGGCGTCTGGAGATCGAGGTTGAAGCCAATACCAATTTTATTGAATAACTTTACCCTTTACAATTCCAAGAAATGTTTGTGTAATTTTGGTAAATATATCTCGGAAGATGAGGTGTCAGTGATATTTTAATTTTTGCGTAATTTAGACGACAATTTATTATGGGTAAATTTTCGTCTAAATTATGCCAAATATATAAACTGGTGAAAATTTACACATGGCACCTTATATATATATAATGTATGTATATTTCCAGAAATCGCTTGAAAATGAATCAGCGATAAAGATTTTAAATTTAATTCTATAATTAAATTTAAAGTTTAGTTTCTATTTTTTGAAACATGGTAAATCCTGTGTAGCGATGCAACCACATTTTTAAATTAGTATATATATATATATATATATATATATATATATATATATATATATATATATATATATATATATGAAAATTGAAATGCAATATATGTGAAAAACAATATCAATAAATGATTTGAACCATCGGAAATTTTACATAGTCTATTGCAGTCTCTTTCTTTCTTTCCTCCTTTCTTTCTTTCTTTCTTTCTTTCTTTCTAACTATAAGTCAGTATCTATCTCTCTATTGCAAAGTAGTTGTCATATATCGTTTTGTGTGTTGGGGTCAAGGTGATACTTCCTCATTTTTATTGTCTCATCTAAACATGCTCAAAGATTGGATGAAAACAACTTATTTGTTGACGTTCGACAACATTCATCAAATTTAAGACAACTTGATTGCTTTTTAAGAGGAAACCTTATACAGAATCTCCATATCACAAGACGTTATATATTTTTCTAATCTTGGAATGAAATCGATAGAAATAATAGTACATTTACAAGAGGTATTTTAAAGTTATGATTACAACTCCCTCTCGACGATAAGCGCTATGTCTCTAATACATAACATATTGGCTACTCAGAATAAAGATTTAGTATAAATCTCGAATGATTTAGATTAAAAAGTTTATTCGAAAATGTATTCACTATTCGAGTTACGAATCAGAATAAGCTCTATTAGTAGGTAAATGTGTATGAGGAAAATAAGAAGAGAAATAAAAAGGAAAGAAAGAAAGAAGTGAAAGAAAGAAAGAAGTGAAAGAAAGAAAGAAGTGAAAGAAAGAAAAAAACGAAGAACATTAAACTGAAATTTGTACAGATATTGGTAAGAAAGAAACAAAAAATAAAAATGAAAGAATTAAATGAAACAAAAAATAAGACGATAAAAAAAAAAAAATCAGTGAATGAAATAAACAAATAATCGGTAAAGAAAAAATTTAAAAAATATGGAAACGAAGAAAAATAAAACAAAGATGGACTTTTGGATGGAAGGAAAAAAGATAAATACGAATAAAGGAAGAAGATGGACGCTCAGGATAGGGGAAAAAAGAATAATTAAAGAAAAAAGAAATGACATATTATGATTTTGGAAAAGAAAGAAAGAAATACGAACGCTCAAACTATGGAAAATTAAAAGGAACAGAAAATATAAATTATTTAATCTGGCTTCAGAGAAAAAGTGAGAAAGAAAAGAGGAAGTCAAATACGAATAAAGAAGAAAGGAAATATTAGGATTATGGCAATAAAGCTTGCAAGCAAGCAAGAAAGAAAGAAAGAAAGAAAGAAAGAAAGAAAGAAAGTAAATCCGGAGGATGCCGACATAATTATGAAAAAAGAAAAAAGAAACAATTATGAAAAAAGAAATAAGGAAAGAATTATGAAAAAGAAAGAAAAATTACGAATGAAAGAAAGAAAGAATTATGGAAAAAAGAAAGAACGAAAGAATTATGGAAAAAAAGAATTCTGAAAAAAAGAAAGAATTAGGAAAAAAGAAAGTAAGAATTATGAGAAGAAGAAAGAAAGAATTAAGAAAAAAGAAAGAAAGAAAGAATTAAGAAAGAAGAAAGAAAGAAAGAAAGAAAGAATTAGGAAAAAAGAAAAAGAAATTACGAAAAAAGGAAAAAAAAAGAAAGAAGAAATGGAAAAAAAAGAATTCTGAAAAAAGAAAGAATTAGGAAAAGGAAAGAACGAATTACGAAAATTCTGAAAAAAGAATTAGGAAAAAAAGAAAAAGAATTAAGAAAAAGAAGGAAAAAAAAAAAAGAAAGAGAAAAGAAAGAATTAAGAAAAAAGAAAAAGAAAAGAAAAAAAATTACGAAAAAAGAAAGAAAAAAAGAATTACGAAAAATGAAAGAAGGAAAAATTAAAAAAAGTATTCTGAAAAAAGGAAAAGAAAGAACGAATTATGAGAAGAAGAAAGGAAAGAAAAAATTTTGAAACAAAGAAAGAAACGAATTAGGAAAAAGGAAAAAGAATTATGAAAAAGAAAATAAACAAAGAAAAAAGAAAAGATTTATGGAAAAAAAAATTCTGAAAAAAGAAAAAAAATGAGAAGAAGAAAAAATGAAAAAAGAAAAGAAAGAATTAGAAAAAGGAATGAAAAATTAAACAAAGAAAAATGAAAAAGAAAGAAAAAATTAAAAAAAAAAAAAGAAGTATTTTTTAAAAAGAAAGAAAAAAAGAATGTTCACAATATGAAACATTAAATAATCCTATTTCAGTTAAGAAAAAGAAGGACAGGTACGAATATAGATGTATAGAAATATTACGAATGGAATTACAATGGAAAATTAAAAAGAATAAGAGAAAACCAAGTTGATAAATAGAGAAACAAAAATACGAATAAAAGGAGAAGATGGACTCTCAGGATAGGAAAAAAAGAATAAATAAAGAAAAAAGAAAGAGCATATTATGATTTCGGAAAAGAAAGAAAGAAAGAAAGAAAGACGAAAAAAGAAAGACGAACGCTCAAATTACGGAAAATTAAAAGGAACAGAAAATATAAATTATTTAATCTGGCTTCAGAGAAAAAGTGAGAAAGAAAAGAGGAAGGCAAATACGAATACAGAAGAAAGAAAATACTAGGATTATGGCAATAAAGCTTGCAAGAAAGAAAGAAAGAAAGAAAGAAAGAAAGAATGAATGAAAGAAAGGAAAGGGGAGGGACCAAGAAAAGATAAAGAAAGAAAACAAAAACCTAATGGACAAAGTAAGAAAATGTACCTAAAAAAGAAAAGAAAAAAGGATCAAAGAATGAAATAAAGATGTAAGTGAAAGAGAAATAAAGGAAAACAAAAAAAGAGTGAAAGAAAATGTACGAGGATAAACAGAGAGAAAAATGAAAGAAGAACAAACATGAACAAAGCGGGTGGGGAACAAAATAAAGAAAAATACAAAAAAAAGGTTTAAAATAAAGAATGAAAATAATGAATGAGAAAGGAAAGAAAAAGAAAGAAATCCTGAAGAAAAAACGAAAGAAAGAAATAAATAAATAAAAGAACAGATAAACAAAGAATGGAAATATAAATAAATAAAAAAAAAAGCAATGAAAAAAATAAGTAAAAAAAATCAAAGAAAGAAAGAAAAACGATCAAACTAATGAATGGAAGCAAAAAAAATAAGTAAAGCAAATAATTAAAACGAAAAGAGAAAAAAAAAAAATAATTAGAATAACAGATTGAAAAGAAGCAATGAAAAATGAAAGAAGGAAGAAAAGAAGAGAATAAATTGCATAAAGAAAAGAAAAAAGTGATATTAAATGTAAAAATGGTGGGAAGCAAAATATGATAAAGAAACAGTAAAAATAGAGAGAAAGGGAGACGGAAAAAGAGAGAAAAGCATAAAAGAATAAAGAGAAAAAAGTAAAAAAAAAACATTTAATGATTGACAGTAAAATAGGAAAATTCAAGAAAAGAAAAGCGAATAAAGATGGAAGCAAAAAAAGACAAAGAAGGAAGAGAATGAAAAATAAATGAATGAAAAAGCGAAAAGAAGAAAAACCAGTGAAACGAAAAAATGGAAGAAAGAAAGAAAGAGAATGAAGGAATGGATAGATATAAAAACAAAAACCAAAAAAGGGAAAAAAATTGAACGGAAAAAGCAAATGAAAGGAAAAAAAAAAAAAGAAAAGAAAGAAGATACCCAGAAAAGAAGACAATGAAGAAGAAAAATAACTGAATAAGAGTTTTGAAAAAGGATCAGAGAAAAAAAAAAAAAAGAAAACAAAGAAAAATGAAAGAAAGTAGGAAAGAAAGAAAGTGAAGTAATGAAAGTAAGAAAAAAAATCACAAGGACAAACGAAAAAAAAACATCAAAATGAGACAAAAACAAACGAAAAAGGAGAACGGAAAGATATGAAAAGAAAATGGTAATGTCTACAGAGAAATGAAAACAATGAAATTAAAAAAAAAAATAGGAAAAACATTAATATCTAAGTAAAAACGAAGAAAATAATAATATAGAAAACTTGACAGAAGATAAGATGGCGAAACCACATCAACAAAATGGAAGATACTGAAAGGGCAGGGCGACGATTAGAAGAATGAGATCTATAGAAAATAATTCACCGATATTTTTTTTTTTTTTTAGTTTCTTTTTATTTCTTTTTTTTTCCGTTATTTTGGGTGAGTAGGGAGGAGGTGGACCTCGCTTTGATTTTTCGGGATGGCGCAATTGTATCGACCGCCATAATCGATAGACACGGCTTCATTGCCAATCAATTCGCACAGACCCGCTGTCATGTCGATAAAACCTAATCTGTTGCGTATTGTTCTCACAGCGCCATCTGTCGATGCAGGCATTGATTTAGCACCTTCAAATAATCAGAAGGTTGAAACAACACAGCAGCAGCAGCAACAACTACAACAACAACAACAACAACAACAACAACAACAACAATAATAATAATAATAATAATAATAATAATAATGAGAATAAAAATGACTAGAAAGCAAACGGGGGAGAGAGAGGTAGGGAGAGCAAGAATAAGAATAATATTAACAAATTCATTAATATTTTTACGATACAGATACGTAAATGATGATGATGATGATGATGATGATGATGATGATGACTTCGCAGAGAATACCTAAAACAACATGGTGTAATGTTTAGTACCCTTGTTTCGTCAGATTAATTGCTGAGTAGTGAGTTCGATTCTCACAGGGTTCTCCAAGCCTTCGGCCTTTATGCCACAAGTAAGCTACGCGTACTAAATCGCTATATGGCAGTGAATGTTGGACGTTCTCCTTAAAAATGAAGAAGAGACTTGAGGTATCAGAAATCTGGTTCTGCAGAAGGATGCTGAGAATATCATGGATTATACATGTGAGGAATAAGGAAGTTTTAAGTAAAAAGAGAAAAAAAAGGAGATTTAAACTTTGCATCTGAAAGAGGATGGTGAAGTTTCTACGGGGCATCATAAGGAAAGAAGGCTTAGAAAATTGGACACTCACAAAAGTTGTTGAATGCAAGAGGGTCAGAGGTAAATAGAGTATAACCTACTTTGTGAGCTTTTGCAAATGGCACAAAGACAAAAATTTGTTAAGAGCTGCGAAGAAAAGGAAATTGTGGAGAGACATGTACACTCCCGTTCTGAAGAAGAAATAAAACAAATGTGAGGTTTCTAAAGTTAATCATTTTTAACAGTATGATTCTTTTTGAAACATAGTTCGCACAATGGTGTTGTGCGTCCTTTCTATTACGTTGTCACCATTTTTCACTTCTTGCCGAGGAAGCACACATGCAGACATAGCGCTTTGTCGTGAATTTTCAGCTTTATTTGCAGGAAAATATCCCAACAAATGACGTAATCTCATGAATCCTAGATTTACCATTTAGTCCTTTACACTTAAATCGCGAATATATGATCGTTCATCATCATCATTTATTCAGTTAGCGCATTTTGCGCAGCTGTAGTCAACATTCCCCTACATCTCATAATTCTGCTTCATGGTAACATTCAAAGAGAATGGTGCAATAGCTTTTCACCGGGGATGTTGAGATTAGCCCGTCCATTCTCTCAGAGGTGCATTTATTTTTTAAGTTACCTTCTTCTAGCCGAAAAGGCAGGGCAATGTAGCAGGTGGTTTGAATGTCAGTTTCCTTCTCCTAGACTGGTTGCCACCAAGTGCTATAGAGCTCAGTATATCCCGCTATTTTATTCATAGCGGCAGAATTATTATTATTATTATTATTATTATATTTCGATTTCTGCTATGGTCACACTACCTACCAAGTCTGCGGGAAGACCTAAAGCAGGTAGCGGAAGACCAACGGCAGGTAATGACTACATTTTACTTAATCGAAATTGTATTCTTGAGACATGGTGCGAACAAAAGTCTTCATATCTCACGAATTCTTCAGAGAATCCTCGCAGAGTAAATGACGGTAATTATCAGAACGTCTACAATCTTGATGTCAATTCTAATTTTAAACACTCTTTCAATTTTCTAACTAGTGTTCCAATCGCACCTGTTACAACTTTATTATTATTATTATTATTATTATCTTTGATTTCTGGCGTTTACACATCTATTTCCGGGTCCCGCCCAGGGACCTAAGGTTAGAAATGGCATCATGACACTTTCCACTGACCCCCTCACCCCACCAAAAATTAAGAAGTGGTTCCTCGCTCCTCAAAATCTCCTGATGAGAGGCCTTGCTGCCGGATGTAGTTTATCGTCTTACCCAGGACGCGGATGTAGTTTATCATCATACCCAGGACGCCTCATGGGGGTTGGGGCCTTACCTCTCTGTAGAGGCACAGGAGGCGTATTCTGAAGCCCCAGCTGACAGATCGGTGATCAGTTATAAAGAGCAATTAATCAAATAGTTTAGTATAAATCTTATTAAAAATCCTGTCATTTTGTTCAATTTCCCTGGGTGGGACGTTAACAGTTTGCACATGTAAACTACCTTCATGCGTTTTAAGTGATGATGGATTCTGAATATTTTTTCAGAACCTTAAGGTGTTCGTTGATATTACAGTCGTTCTTGAAGAAGACATACTTTCGAAATAATGTTAAACAATGTGTCTTTTATTTAATTTCTCTTCTTAATTATTATTATTATTATTATTATCATTGATTACTGGCGTTTACACATTTCTTTCCGGGTCAGGCCCAGGGACCTAAGGTTAGAAATGGCGTCATGACACTTTCCACTGACAAAAAAAAAAAAAAAAAAAATTAAATTACATAGATAAAGCCCTTCGTAAGGTGTGGGCTGTACTTGTCAGAACAATTTTTTGTATCTCTTTGAGGCATGGACTTCCAGGAATCCCTTCAATTAGTCTTCTGGAATCTTTTTCAACCAATCCTAGGGCTCCAACTACAACAGGGATTGTTGATGTTCCCATATGCCATACTTTTGAGATTTCTATTTCAAGGTCCTTGTATTTTGACAGCGTTTTGAATATCTTCAAAGATACATTGCAGTCTGCAGGGACTGCCATATCAATAAGTAGGCACTTTTTTTGTTTGTGGGCTTTAATAACAATATCTGGCCGCTTGGCTTTGATTGTTATTGCGTAGTCCCATAGAATTGTAACAGGTCCTATCTCCGTAACCGGGTCTGGGTGGTGTTCATACCAGTTTCTTTCAGTTTCCTTCTCGTAGAAGTTGCAAATTTTCCAGTGTAGATATTGGCCCACTCTGTCATGCCGGGTTTTATATTCAGTGGGTGCCAATATCGTACAACCTGATACAAGATGATCAATCTTTTCTGAACTAACACAATGTTTTAGTATATGTGCTTGATAATTCCTAGTTAACAAAAATTGGTCCTGTGCAGCAAAGATAAAACCTTCAGTTTCAGCTTTCAACCCTGCACTACGTAGCCACTGATGGGTACGGGTTTTGTCTACATCAGCTTGTTTGGTACGGGCAGAGTATTGGCCATGAAGCGGTTTATCTTGCCATCGCTTCTGTATCTGGTCGGTTGCATTTGCATTTGCTTTTGCTGTCTTTTTTAAGTATTTTGCAGTTTTAGCTGGTGTATTGTGCTGTACTTGCACTTCTGCTCCCATTTGAAACTCCATTTTGAATTTGTTGGCTTCCATTATTACGGAGTAAAGACGGTTACTACTTTTATGTTCCTTGACGCATACCATCATCCAGTCTTCTGTAGTTTCCAAGTATCTTTGGAGGCCAATTGTTGTAGTTTTGTAGGAAAGTTCTAGTTGAACTAATCCTCTGCCTCCTTCGAGTCTGGGCACATACAGACGAGCAACACCAGCTTTGGGATGATGCATGCGGTAGCAGGTGAGAAGTATTCTCGTTTTGGCGTCCATTCGCTTAATTTCAGCTATGGTCCATTTAAGGACATTAAAGCAGTTTGCCCCACAGGGACAGCCAAT